AAACTTTTCAAACCCCCAAGTAAGTTTATTTGGATTATACTTTGGTTTGTTGTAGATTCAAAAAAGTTAGGGAAATAATTTTTTTCCATTTTTAGGGTTTTTACAGATTATGGAGTTTTTCCCCTACAAGACTTCTTTGGGTTGTTTCTTGCATTCATTCTAAAGGTTTTTTTTGGCTTTAATGGTTAAACATTTTAGGTGATTGTTTACTTTGTTGAGTTTGTGCATTTTATATATAATATGCTCTTTTTTTGTTTTTTATTTTCAATTACTTGTCTAATTTTATTTTGGGTTGTCAATTGAAAGTAAAAAATATGAAGAGTGTTCACATATGGAGCTGTGGACTGGTTTTTTACTTTCTTCATATGAAGTGTTCACATATGGAGCTGTGGACTGGTTTTTTTACTTTCTTCTTATTCCGTCATAATTCATATTATGACTTTATGACATTTTGCATGCAATTCCATTGTTATTGCTTGATGGGTTATTGGAGTGCATCCTGAGATGTGGGCATAGTTCATTGTTATTGCTTGATGGGTTATTGGAGTGTGCCCTGAGATGTGGGCATATGGTGTGTACTAGTTTTATTTTATTTTTTGAAACTGTGATAATAAATTATTATTTTTATTGTTACACACCATATGCTGGCATATGATATGTAATAATTTTATTTTATTTTTTGAAACTGCAATAATAAATTATTCTTTTTATTATTACACACCATATGTGGGCATATGGTGTGTAATAATTTTATTTTTGTTCCTAATAATTTTCTGAAATTTCTCTTTTTCCTATGTTTTTTTCTTATTCTTCATATCTTTCTCTATTTCTACAAATGTTTTTATTTTTCCTTTTTTTTTTTCAGTTTGTCTCGTGAGCAGGTTTGATCCGACTGGTCTGTCTGAACCGCTGTTGCGACCAGTTCGACCTCAGGTGCGGTCTTAACAATATTGTTTTTGAAGGGAACTTTAAAAAAAAAGAAAGGAAAGATAAAAATACACATTATATTGCTTTTAAAAAAAAGCACGATGCTTTGAAGATGTTTGAAAAAAAAGAGTTTTTAGTGGATTTCAATCTTTGAGACGAGCTATGCCACCTAGGTTTAGAGCGAAGATGGTGTTCCCAGCATTGGTACATATACATGGGCCACTGGAAGTGTCTTAGCATTGTGCCATTAAATAGTAAGCATGAAGACAAGACAATTTGACTGGGAGTGGAACTGCCTATCCACTGAGCCAAGATATCTAGGCTTAGAGCCAAGGGAGTCATTCTGCTCACCACTAGGTTATCAAAGTGAGTACAAAAGCTACCAAAATGTCACATATCAAGTCCTGGCATCGTATGACTTAGATAACTTTGCTTTGAAACAAGACAGCTAGAAGTCCCAACACTGGCATTGTCCTAGCATGTATGGAGCTACTCAATGAGTTCTGACATTGAGCTATGATGTATTATAATTTAAACCAAGATCGTTTGGCCAGAGGCCAAAGCACCTTTGCATTGATCCAACCCACCTTGGCTCGGAGTGAGGACAGTTGGTACTTTCAGCATGGACATTATCTCAGCCCCTATGAAAGTTCATTAAGTCGTGGCATTGAGCCACAATACATTATGCACTTAGCTAAGGTAACTTGGCTGACGGCCAAGCTTTTCAGGGGTGTAAGACCTAACTTACCAGAAATTTCCCAAACAAGCCTTTCAAGGATTCACTACCAAACTCTTGGCCACTAAACCCAGGTCAATCGGTAAGTATATCCAACATTCTGTGTCTCTTCGCGATTTCTTAAAAACAAAAGTTTCTTTTTTTTTTGAAATGTTAACCAGTTTCATATTGAGTTTCTTTAGATTTCTAGATTATTTTATTTTTTGAAATGGTAACCAGTTTCATATTGAGTCTTCAAATGTTTTCAAATATGGACTTGTGATATGGTCGGATATGATGAGGTCCCTTCACCCAGCCAAATCCAAGATTGATTTGTCCGAAAATGCTGAGATTGGTTTGAAACCATGATGCTTTTCCTAAACTTTCATAGGCCTTTCTAAGTTTACTCATTAGGATTCTCAAGTAGTAATCTATGTGAAAGCCAAAGTTGCTTTCCAAAGGAAGAACACCAAAAACCATCTATCAACTGTGGGTTGGCTTGAATAAACTTCACTTAATGTAATTCTATGATAAAAAAGGGTTAGAAGCTCATGTGCAGATGGTAAGGAGGTGCTGATTCTTCGAGTAATAAGATGGCCTAGGCACTAGTCTTAAGAGAAGCAACAACAATGCACAGATATCAAAACACAAATTCAAATATTTCGCTACAAGTCAACTAAAAACTTTCTTGTGACCCAATCTATGCTTTCCTCAACCACTGGGTACCCAACACCACAGTTTTACCCTGAAGGTCCTGACTTGTGGTCTATAAGCCCATAAGTCCATATGCAGTTGGCAATTCCCCTAACCACCCGACTATGGAGATAGCCCAGAATATGAACTATCAAGAGGTCATGGTTAAACTTCCTTACGTGCTCTTTTCTATGGTTGCTTTCTTCTTTGACACACATTCTGCTGAAGAAGAAAACTGACAGAGCGGGGCAACGGTAGACACCCAAAACTTGCAAAATTTCATTGGCTTAGTAATAAACTATCCAAACCTCTCTTTAGCATCAAAACTTAGGAAAACACTTACCAAAGACAACCTAAGCCTAAATAACTCTTATACCCTTTAGGAAAACCTAAAATTTTAACCTGTACTGTTTAGAAACCTAAACGTAAAACCATAAAGAGTCCTAGATATCACCTTAGAACTCAAGCAAACTATCCAAAAACCCAAACTATCTTAAATGAGATGCAATAAGCTTTTCATTGATTCAAGAATAACTCAAATTTCATGTTCCATTAGAAATTAATGGGCCAAACATTGAACAAATCATAAATGATACAGAAGTCACCAAGAGCTCCATGCAAAACATGTGGTGCATAGAACCAAGGATTTTGGTTCTTGAGCACCACACCTTTCCAAAGGCTCATATGAAGCAAAACCTCCCCTAAGCTTCTAGACAAGATTTCGGATGCTCGAGCTAGGATTGCCGGTGCATAGAGCCCTCACCAAAACAAATTCTGAAATGGCATATAGGTCGAACGGCCTTGCTCCAAACGAACCTAGTTTGGGCCTGAACCCCAAATACCTGGGCATGCAGCCCGTGTTTTGGAAAATGAACCAAACTGCATGGGCTCGCTTTCTTGAACCTTCTAGCAATTCTTGGGCCGACCTCATGCATTTTGGACTTGTTTTGATCAATTAATCATAGTCGTCCATATGGAACCACATATAAATATAAGGTTATAGAACTAAGAGAGGACATAAGATGACCTGAAAATGTTGCCTCCTCCAATACCCTAGAAGACTCCAAACCCCCTAGAACGTTGGTTACCCCTCAAAACCATATCCAAAATGCCTTAAAACTTGAAGATTGTTGCAAAAATCTCCATTAGAGCACCCCATTTTCTAGAACTAACACGTTCAGAAAACATTCATATAGGAAGCCACCAACTCCGTTGTAAGTTTGATCCACAGTTCGGGGTGCCAGCTACGTAATTTATTTCTCCTTTTCTACGGTTTTATATCTAAATGTTTTATTGGATACACTTGGAGGTTTTTGTTGATCAAACCCCTTGAATTTGAGTTTTGAAAAATTCCAGGTCAAACAAGTATTATCTTCCATTGGATTTGAGCATTGGTAGTAGATTCCTGCTTAGCTGACGACTCCATGAGGGCTTCCAGCAAATCTATAACCTTAGATTGATTATAACCATCTCCTCTTTCTCAAACTATCCCTGGTTGAGGGCTGAGCATCATTTTCGCAAGCTTTTCTCAATCTCGTACAGATTCATGGTCTCAATTTTGTGATTTGGGGGTGCAAATTAGTATGCAAAGAATAAATCTTCATAAAATATTTCCTGTCATCATAGTTGGTGATGTTTAGCTTTTCCATCCCGGTTAACAAGCTTTTGTTGTCTACTAAGCTCTCTCTCTCACTCAAATTCACCCTTATACCCTCGCATTTCCCTTTAAAAGATTGAGGCTGCAATTCAATGGCGTGAACACCACACTGTAGTTTTCCTCTTTACAACAGCACTTCTGTAATGCTCAAACCAACACAATGATAGACGCCCACAATTTGAAATTTTGATTGACATGCCCACAATTCTATCCCTATAATCTGAATCGTGGTTCTAATACCACTCGGTGGATTGTCCCTCGAGTTCTGATATCACTAGTTGTCCAAAAAAGCACATGGACTTATGCTTGGAAATGCATGTTGGGAAGGACCTACCACACTGTCATCATGTATTGCACCAAAGATTGGTGTGAACCACTGTTGAACATGAGTTTTTTTGGACTGGTTATTTCAGTTCTTCAAAGATCATCAGATCTTAACTATTTTGCGTTCTCTGACGTGTGTGAAACCTATGTGGTATGGATCATGACCACAATCAGTCAGTGCTTCCCTGCAAGATATTTCGGGCGTAATTTTGACATATGGATATGTTTCTTTAGGATTAAGTTAGGGTTTAAGACAATATAGAAGGTCCTAATGTGCTTTTAGCTCGGGCAGAGAGGGATATCTCATGTCAGAGTGCCTTGTACTTTTGGGAGCCGTTATGGTGAAATTTTTTACTGTCTTTGCTTGTGGATGTAGTCACATCAACAAGAAACTGTGTAAATCTCGGTGTTTTTTCGATCTCTTTGTTTTCAATATGTTTGCTTTGTGCTGTTGATGTATTGTTTTTCTCTCTTTTTTCATACCCCACCCTCTGGGGTCAGGGTTTTGCACAATGTATATGGATGCATGAAACCATCAAAGTATCTGTGTATTTTCTTATTAACAAACCTTCATATGGAAATACCAGTGTTGAAATTATTATGATGCTAGGATTGGTAGAGTCCATTATTTAGGTTGCAAATTTTATGAGAAATGGCTAATACAGTTCCAAATTGTCGATGCAGGGAGCTTGCCGAGGACTTCGTGGTGGGTGGTACTGCTTCTGAGTCTCTTTATGGTGCATGCGAGTCCATGTACAAGCCTGATATGGTTAGACCTCTATCCTCTTTGAGTAAATTTGCCACATTGTTATCTTCAGCATATGCACATGTACAGTCGAATATGGGCTTGTAAGATTAGGTAATATTCTTTCTTCCAAATTTTGATTCAGAAACCGGAGGAGTTATTTGAGACAATTTCTCAGGCTCTGTTGTCATCTGTTGACCGCGATTGCTTGAGTGGATGGGGAGGGCATGTAATTGTTGTGTAAGTATTTTTCTTCTCTCTTTTCTTTGATCAATTTGTTAGTTATCTCCCTTTGCTTTTGCTTCTTGGTGGTTTATTAGTTCCATTTATCTTCTTGGCCTTCTATTTCATATGTACGTGAATAACGAGAACCCAATTTTTCTTGATTTATTGTTTGGTTATTGATTTGATTCAATTTTTTTCTTGTGCATATTGGGCCATGAAGTAGAACTTCTTGTTCTTGTTGGGGGGTCATTATTTAAAGTACAAAGAGGATTTGGCAACAATTTTATAAAAGGAAGCGTCTATTCTGATTTTCAAAGGATTTCTTATTTTGAATTGTTGACTCCCACCATCCGTCTGAACCATCCGCAATCTCACCTGATCCATATATGCCTTACCTTTGCATTCTTCACTATGCTAAACATCCATTCAATGTTTGCTTGGTTATGATAACTCTATATTATGGGATTCTCTTGCAGTACACCTGATGACATAACGGAGCGAACGCTGAAAGGACGGATGGATTAAACTCTCTTTGACAATCCATTAACGGATGGATTAAACTCTCTTTGACAATCCATTAAATCAGAATTTCAAGTTGCCCGCATGGGTTTACTCATATTTGCTGTTCTTGGTTTTTGTTCTTTTTTGGGGAAACTATGCTCTCAGTGATTTTGCATCCTGGCCTCAAGTGATTTTTCATATAGGTGCTCTTCTATACTGTTCTCGTAATTTTGCATGGTTATTCCCTCTTAAGTTAATCCAAATACGTGGGAAACACTGTATTAATGTCTTTGTTTTCTGATTCATTCCAAGTATAAATGATATCTAAATGTGGTTTTCACGTGCTTGTCCATGGTTTCAAGCTTTCAATATACATTTAAAATCACCAGAAAATTGATCTACTCTACTTTATAGCTGTATTTGGCCATCATAGGTTGTTTGTTTTTTTAGCTGTTAACAACTTAAGCCCAAGCCCAAAATATGACTGTTGTAGGCGCTTATTGGGTCTAATTAAGCTTGTTGTAAGGAAATTTGGTCCCCAATTAATTGGGAAAAGGCGATGATGATGATGATAATAATAAGGAATGAAAGAATGAAATGAACTCTCTCTTTCTCTCTCTTGTTGAGAAGGTATGTCATGTTGCAAAATACATGGATCATTAACACGGTAGATATGTTTTGTCAATTTCAAATTTAAGGGGGGAAACCTCATTTGTAGAAGTAACAATGCAGTGCTCTATATAGTTATAGATTTGGGGTGTGTCAAAATTTGTAATGATTTTTTATGTCAAATCCACATCGTCCAATTATAAAATGGATGGTAATATGCTTCTATAATAAGCAGTGTTGTTCTATGCCTTTTTTTTTGTTTTGCACATGTACTTGTACATCTGCCAGATAGAGGACTGATAATGCTTCAATTTGCTATTCATGAAGTCATTTGCAGGGGTGGGTTCATTTATTTTTATCATGGAGGCATTTGCTTGTTCAAAATGATGTATGTGCTAAGAAACCCCTCATACGAAACACGCATAGCATAAAAAAAAATGAGGTCTCAAACTTGTATGGTTCAAAAACCAGTGGTAGTAGATTGGGATTCATTGAACACTGTTTAAGTGGTTAAATAGAAAAGCTGCATATCCGTGGAAATTTCATAGTCTGGTCTGTTATAAAAAAAAAAAAAAAATGGGATCACTTAATCTTATTGCATATACACTTCTCGTGTAAGAGCTTACAATGAGTGATTAAGGTAGGGCGATTACCAGCACCACCCTCCCCCCCCCCCTTGTGAGAAAGCCGTCTTAACGGCATATAAGGGAATTTCATAGTTAGGAAGTCGGGTATGATAATATATCAGCGAACCAAAATATTGTTAATAAATCCGTTTATTTTAAAAAGTTGGAGGAAAAAATCAGGTAAAAAATATGGATCACCAACAAATAAGGTAAATAGTAGAATTGTAAAATATTTTGGATTTAACTAAAAAAAATGAAGTGAAAAAATGAAATATGTAAAGATGAAATAGTATAGGAGGAAAGCCATTCCTTATCTAGTGTTATTAGCATAATACTTGACAATTTATCATCTAAACTTTAAATAAATTGAAAAACATTGCGTACTCTATTGTCACAACACGAAACATATCACATATTTATTGGGAGCAATAATGAAACAACGATAATAATACTGAACATAAGAATTACATTAGTAAATAACAAGAACTTAAACCAAGGTATAAGATTATTGTTAAAAAAAAAAACAAAATAATTTTTACTATAGGATTGTAGTTAATTAAAACAAAACGGAAAGACCCAAATATGTAAAATAGTGGTCCATCCAAAATGCTATTTTGTATACACCGATTAAAAAAGAAGAACAGATTAATCAAATATCTCTATAGATAAAGAAAGCAACAAAATGGTTAAACAAATTCAAATCTCACACTGAATTTATAACTGCCTAAATCCTTAGCATCATTGAATCTCTCTCGCTCGCACTTTATAAGGACACACTAGGTTTTTTTTTAAAAAAAAGATTTTTCATTAGGTTACTCTTCTAACACTGCCTATTATTTTGAGATATACGATTGATTTGACCTTATTTTTTGGGGAATGTATTACTTATATTTTTTCGTACACCTTTTTTAAGCGAACTTGAAGCTTTTTATTAAATCAAGATTCTTAATTTACTCCTATTATTAATGTGCTTTTCTTTAAACCAAAATTCAATAATATTAATGTGATGAATAAATAAAGTTATAGGGAACAAGTTTTTTTGAAAAGTTTTTTGAAAAAAGATAGAATACAGATTTATGTCGGTTTCATTAGAAAACGTGATTTCTAGAAGATCTTTTGAAAACTTCGGAGTTCTTATAGATTTAAAAAAATGATAGATTTTATGAAAAAATCGTGTTTTAAGCAGAGACTTGCTAACTATGAGAATTTATATGTGCCATCTCTCTCCCAGCCATCCGATTTGAATGGATTGCTCAGATGACTCTATTTAGTGTATCAAGCCTAAATACTATTCTATTTCAAATTTTGTTTTTTATACAAATCATATTGGCACCAAATTTTGGGTATGCAATCCTCTTGTGTGATTGAGCCTACAAAAAATATGAAAAAAATATTTTAAAAAACATAAAAAAGACCAAAATACCATTGGAAGATTCAAGGGCAGTGTGGTTATTTTATTATCATAAGAGTATTTTTAATTTTTTTTTAGGTGCACTCCATTGATATGATCACACAAAAACACACCAATTTAATATGCAACTGTTTTGTAGAAAAAAATTTAAAATAAAATACTCAGAGCCATTAGATCTAGATCAAGCGACCAAGTTTCACTTGTGACATTATGGTTGAAGGTATCCCGACCATTTATTCAAGGAAAAAAATTTATATAAGAACCTTATACTGTAGAATTAAGGTGCACCTTTAAAATCTATTGGAAAATGTTATTTTGATGTTGAAAAACCATCCAATTGATCATCTCGACATCGAGACGTATGGATGTGGAAAATAAAAAAGATTTCTAGTCCAAAAAATAGTACATCTTGCAACATATTATCTGGACCATCTATTTTCAAGATTTTCACGTGTTTATAGATATGCTTGATTTGAATCATTTTTTACAATTTTAACAATTATAGTTAGAGATAAAAGTTGATTTTCGAGCCATCCTAAAAATTTTCAAGATCAAAAAATTGCATCTTATTACATAGTTTAGAGGTGTGCCTTACGTTTATTGTTTAATATTGTAACTTCATGCAAACCTCACCTTTCATTTAGATCGAATGGCTGAGAGAGAGTGACTTGTATAAATTCTCTATGCCTAGTGGCATACAGAAAGCTTTCCCATAACTCACAGCAAGGTAGTTTTTAGAGTTCTGGAAAAATTTCAGAAAAGTCATGTTTCATTTTTAGAATTAAAAAATAGCCTTATGGATTTCATATTTTTCCACTTTTTACAAGCATATATTGTACTTGAATTTTATAGTTTTAACGTGCAGTGAAGTGAGCTCAAATTTGATATGTTGATATTTTTTATCATTACACACATATAAAAATATAAAAAATATTTAAAAAATAAAATTACCATAATACTCATGAGTATTATAGGGGTGTTTTGGTTATTTACTATTTTAATTTAGTTATTTTTAGATTGCGTGATGGTAAAAACTATGAACCTATCAAATTTATTTTAATAGTTCATATTTTCAAAAGTAGGAATTGACTGTAAAATACAAAATGTACGAGGCTATTTTTGAACTTAAAAAATAATAATAAAAAAATTTCTGTAAATTTTCATATATTTTATATAAATGATTAAACATTAAAATTATAAACTATTTATGACAAAATGAGAGTTTACTTTTGTAAGAAAAGTAGATCCATAAATACTTAAAAAATGGATATTTTTTAGTCCTTTAAATTTTTTTTTTTTTCGCAAGCATAATTGTGAACGACGAGATATTTGATTTGAAGGTGCATGAACCCCAATTTTTAATGAGTTTTGAGGTGAGGATTTACTTTTTGAACTAAGCCTTATTTTAAACTTTTTCATTAAAAAAACCTTATTTTTCTTTTCATTTTTATAGTTATCATGGTTTGGATTTTCAATCTTAATACAAACCTTACCCAAAAGCTTTATATGTGATCCAACCCATGTAACCCCTGTTCTCAATTGTCATATCTGAATAGATGGTGGGGATGACTTGAATCACAATGACATAAGTTGGCTATTGAGTGTTATATCTTGATTCAATGGCTAAATAATGTTCTATTTATAATTTTTATTCAATAAATTATTTTGCAGCAAAATTCAAGAAGCGGTCAGGATTGCACATGATAAAAATAATAAAGAATTTTTTTGACGAAAAATTACTAAAATAGAAGTATTTGAAATAATATTGTGACAAACAATGTTAGCCGTCCATTTTCATGTTACAAAAAATTTATATATGTAGGAGGGGTCACGTACAAAGCTTTTGCTAAAGTATTAAGCATTCCCTTCAAGTCGTGCCCAAACATAAGCTCTTCCACGTGGCATTTTTTAATGTCTTTATGTTAGTGGAGCACCCAAGCCCACCATCATCTACCCACACGTGCTTTGCACCAACAACCCTAAAGGATTTTTTTGGGTATATACCATGCTATGCTATATACCATTAGTGCACTTATCATTTTTTTTTTTTTCCGCTGAGCGAGTGAAAATGAATAATATTTTCATCCATAGCCTCGGTTCGTCTGAATTTTTTGGACGGCATAGATAAATCGACTGTACTGGATATGTTATGTCTGTTGCGGTACGATCGATTTTTTACACAAAAAACATGGGAATCCGTTGTGACTTTTCAAAAAAACCACAATGGCGCTGTTGCATGGCAAAATACTACTTATTTTCACCATATGAAGTTTTTAAGACTTTTCCTTTCTAGTTATGACATCAAAGACTTCATTTGATTTTGATCGTTCATCACCGATAATGGACGGTGGATGTTTGTTTGGTCTGTGCATGGCACTCAGCTCGTGTTCAGTGCATGCATGTATTGTTGCTTTCAAAATGTTAAAAAAAGAAAAAAAAAAGTGTGTGTACTCTCAGTGTTGGTTCCCAAAATTGACTTGACTTGTTTGGGAATTATTTTGTCCATTGACTGAATATCTACAATTTTAGCTAGCTGATTTATTAATGTGAAGTAACAAATTTGCACTTGGAAATATTTCTGGCAACTGCAAAAGAAAAAAGAAAAAGAAAAAAAAGGGAATTAAGCCCAAATTAGGTTTCAAATGAGGCTACCATTTCATCGCAATGGCCATTGATGAGGTGGCTATTTTTGTCTTACAT